AATTGCCTAATTTTTTCTTTTTGCTGCTGCTTTCAACGAAACAATGGAGAACATTCTAGATATACAGTCACCTATCGTCTTCAATGAATCTTTGGCTCATTACGAGATCCACGCTCATCAACCTTACACCAATTCATCGTTCAAAAATAGTGACGAGATTCGTATATCAATTCAACATCAAGACTTGTGCCTTTTACCATCTCGCAGCTCGTTACACATTTGTGGACGATTACGCAGCAACAATAATACTTTGTTAACGAATACTGATTTTGTTAATAATGCCATTTGTCACATCATTGAAGAAATTAGGTATGAGCTGAATGCTATAGAAATAGATAAATGTAAGAATGTTGGTCTCACAACCGTTATGAAGAACTGGTTATCTCTCACTCCAAGTCAAACCTTGACTGCCGAAAATGCCGGATGGATAAATACCTTAGAACAAGAGGACCGTAATATAACTAATGCGAATGGCGACTTTGACATTTTGATTCCTCTGAGCTTCATACTTGGATTCGCTGAGGACTATCGTAAAGTGCTAGTGAATATGAAACATGAATTAATTCTCGTAAGATCGAGTACTGATTTAAATGCAGTTTATCAAACGAAGAAGACCGTAGCCAACGTTGAAGCTTACGAATAATTCAAGATTAATGTAACACGTCTCGAATGGCTTATGCCCTATGTGACTGCATCGAATGCAAAGAAAATACGTCTACTCGACTTTCTAAAAAGCGAACGAAGTATTTCAATCAGTTTTCGTAGTTGGGAACTGTACGAATATCTAGCGCTGCCTGCGAACACAAATCACGTCTGGACAGTTAAAACGACAAATCAGTTGGAGAAACCACGCTACGTCATCTTAGCATTCCAAACCAATCGACAAAATGAACCAAACTCTAACGCTAGTATATTTGATCATTGTAACGTCAGAAATGTAAAACTGTACCTCAACTCTCAGTGCTATCTATACGGTAATCACAACATTGATTTCAGTAAAAACCAGTACGCAATGTTGTACGATATGTATGCTAATTTTCAAAACGTATACTACGTTAAGGATGCCGAACCGATGCTCAAAAAACTCGAATATAAAAATTACATGCCACTCGTAGTGATTGACTGTTCGAAACAAAATGAATCATTAAAGACTGCTCCAGTAGATGTGCGCTTGGAGTTCGAAACCAGAGAAAATATTCCCGAAGGAACTACAGCGTATTGTCTTATTCTACACAATCGCATCGTTCAGTATAATCCGATAAATGGAGATGTGAAGAAACTTATTTAGGAGAGGGGGAAGGGTATTAAAGAATTGACTCTTTCCTTAAGCAGCTCAGTAGTAGCTTTCTATCGCAATGGAGTACGTAGTGGATATGCAAGGCTTCATGATGCCTGGCAAAACTTATGTCGTGAAAGTTAGCGATACTCCCACTTAACTACAACGAAGAACCGCTCGTACGCTTGTTCAAACCTCCCTTTCCATGGCGAAGGCTAACGGAGAAATATAAGCGAGAAAATCTCTGGTTAGAACTCTACTATCATGGATTAACATGGAACTCTGGCGATTATAAATACGAAGAGCATAAATTCATCATCACAGATACACTCAAAGATGTCACAAAAATTTTTGTTTCCGGAGATTTGAAAAGAGTGGTTAGAACGATATGGCCTCAAAGTTTTCGATTTGAATGATTGGGGCTATTCGCCTTTCGAAAAATTAAAATTAGTTACCGTGTGCCCTAATCATAACGGCAAATACGTAACGACATGTGCACATCATAACGTTAAAATAATGAAAAAGTTTTATATTGATGGCTGTTGTATGGATTGGGAAGAGAGCGATGATGTCGTTGAAGGATTTCTACAGTGATTTTGTTTTTAAGTAAATACTTTGCAGAATAATATGTATTTTTTTAAGAACATGTAGAATAAGATATATTTTTTATCATTAAAAAAATTTTTGTTTCCATTGATACAAAAAAAATATTCTTTTATTTTTTATTAAACCATCCAAAAAAAGCGAAATTCTTCGCTGACTCTGACGATGACAGCAGCAGCAGTAGCAGTTCAACTTTTTATAATAAATTTTGTATTTTTTTATCAACAAAAAAAATTTATACAACATAGAATTTAGACAAAAAAATGTTTATTTATTAGTTGAGGTGGTGTACAATGATGACATGTATAAATATGATTATTTCTTCTTTTCGTTATTGAACTGATGATAGCCTTTTTGTTCAGGAACATTTTTAGTATTGCTCGAAAATTTGGAAATACTTTGTTTCCTTGTCGATGATTCTTTGTTCTTCTTTTCGTCCGGGTCTTCCTGTGGAAGACGAGAGTACTTTACTTTAGAGTAGCGATCCATTTTATGTGAATGCTGGTTGATGAAAGATTCGATAATTTTTACACTGTGCTATTTATAGTAGCTTACAACCACAAAGTCTACAAATAAAAGAAAGTAAGCAGGTACTTGCGCGTTTTTTCTATTAAACCATCTTCGGTAGATGAGACACGCATGCACGCACACACACGCGCGCCCGCGCGCACACATCGAACATAAAAAAATTATTATTCGTTATATACCAATTATAATTACTATATTTATTAAAATTTATTATCACTTGTATGTAATAGCGCTTGGACCCTCCCCAGCAGCAGCAGCAGCAGCCGTCGGCGCCGCCGCCGCCGCCGCCGCCGCCGCCGCCGCCACCCCCACATATCAATCGCGTGTGTAGCTAGTATACACAATACGGTATTGCCCGCGGTAACAGTGGCTGTAGCTCTAGCGGTAGAGCATCGGCCTGCGGATCCGGAGGACGCGCGTTCGATCCCCCGATCCGTCCGTTTTTTTCAGATAAATCTAAAAATTTTTAACACACGCGCACACATGCGCACACACACAATAAAAAAAATCAAAACGCGTAACACATAACGCGCGCGCAGTGCATAGGAATCAAATCAGCGGGAGAAGGGGAAGTGCTGCAGAGAACGCACGCCACATCAGATCAAGCCACATCAGATCAATTCAGTAGGGGAGGGGGAGTGCGTAGAACGCACCGGTATAACTCAGTAGGAGGAGGGGGAGGTGATGCGCGCATAGGAATCAAATCAGTGGGAGAGGGGGAAGTGCTGTAGAGAACGCACACTACATCAGATCAAGCCACATCAGATCAACTCAGTAGGGGAGGGGGAGTGCGTAGAACGCACCGGTATAACTCAGTAGGAGGAGGGAGAGGTGACGCGCGCATAGGAATCAAATCAGTAGGAGAGGGGGACGAACGCACGCCACATCAGATCAACTTAGTACGGGAGGGGGGGAGTGCGTAGAACGCACCGGTATAACTCAGTAGGAGGGGGGGGGGGGGAGTCGCCAGCGCACGGGCCGATCGGGAGGGGGGAGGTGAGGTGAACATGCACACGCTTCAACTCAGTGAGCTGATACCCCTCTGAGTTGAGGCCCCTCCCGTTTACCTACTCACGAGTTCAACCAATATTTTCAGTAATTAAATTTTGACTTGGATTGAGTGATAACCAGTTCATCATAAGACTTGTCAAGCCAACATTTTTTGCTTTATTTATTTCAATAGCATTGATCTCGTATCGTATTTCCTCGAACTAATGACATAACATTATTAACTAGCTTAGTTTTAAATGCTACATTTCCATTTTCCTGAGTTTATCTGCTTCAAATATGAATCATATTGCGATATGGAAGTATGAATAAATTTTGATGCTGAATTGAGATACGAACTTAATCACTATTATTGAATATTATTGAAATGTGATAATGAATAAGGTTGATGCACATGAACTTCGTAAAGAGCTATTGACTCATCGAAAGCGACACCTGAATGAATATTTAGAATTTAGTCCATTTTGTTGTAAGCAACACACGGTATACGGTCAAAATGTCGACACTATAAAGTCCACACCTAAAAAGTCCACAACTATTCAATGCCCAAAAAGTCCACAACTATTTAATGCCCAAAAAGTCCACAATTAAAAAATTAGAATAGTCCACAATAAACATATAATCATATTCCATCTGTAGAATGTTTTGTTTTTTTTTTATAACCTTTCTTCATTGACTTCGAGACAGTTTTTTTTTCATTTCAAGACAGTTTTTTTTTCGTTTCGGCGCGTGAAAATTTTTGTGAAAAATGGTAGTTAGTACACTAGAGATTATTAAAAAAGGACGTAATGTTTATGGACACCTTGAAGGATTTTTATACACCGGATCACATTCAAGAGGTGACATTAAATATTGGAAGTGTTCAAGCCCGCTTACCAGAGCTTGAGAATATTAAGAAAACCGTTCGGAGGGAACGTGTGAGAGACTTGCCGCTTAACCCTACTAATATACAAGATTTACAAGGTAAACTTGATTGTATTCAAGTACATAAGCTCTTTATATTAACATATTCATTTATATATTCATTAGGTTTACCTGATAAATTTATATAAAAACTAACGTCGGTGAAAATTTTCTAATTTATGACTCTTACGAAGACGAAAATTATAATTTGGGATGCGGCCGAACAATAGTATTTGCTACACGTGAAAATTTGCGATTGCTTTTCACATCGGATATATGGTACTTGGACGGTACGTTTCAAACGGTACCTTCCATTTTTTTCCAACTGTTCGCAATAATGGGTTCTGTCGTGCAAAAGTGTAAAGATATCGAACGAAAGATCGCCTTACCGTTCGTCTATGCGCTCTTAGAAAGTAAAAAAGAAGAAGCTTATTCAAAAAATATAGAAGTTACATTAAACTTTGCTGAAACTGCTGGCATTCAAATACGACACCCTCAGCATGTCATAACTGATTTTGAGCTTGCGATTATTAATGCTATAAAAACCCATTTGAGTGAAGATATCATAAGACTCTGTTTGTTTCACCTTTGTCAAAGCGTCTATCGCCAAATACAAGCAGAAGGTCTTCAGCAATAATACGGAGACCCAAACGATAACTCCATTCGAGAAGCTGCGCATAGCATGTGTGCCTTAGCTTTTGTGCCTCCGGAAGATGTACCCAATGTATTCGACATTTTTCATAATGAAGTACCTGAAGAATTTATCCCTATTTCAACCTATTTTGAAGTTAATTACATAAGAGGCATACGAGCGATTGGTAGACGAAATGCAGTGAAGGTACGATGCCCACCGGCCCTCTGGAACCAATACGACTCTGTTCTTCACGGAGTAGCTCGCACTAATAATGCTACAGAAGGCTGGCATAATCGCTTCCAGATACTAGTCGGACGAAGTCACTCGAGCCTTTACAGTTTTCTAACCGAATTGCAGAAAGAACAAGCAGACGTTGAATACATGCTACGTGAATTGAATTTGGGAAAGAAAGCAAAAAATGTACCTAATGAAAAGTTCCTTCGTGTGGAAGAGCGTATTATTACAATTGTTGAAAATTATCAAGATTATGTTGATGAAGATAGAGAATTGGCATACTTGAACACTATTGGATACCACCTTCACATGTGATATTTAACATTGAATAAATTATATTTTTCATTTTTATGTGGACTTTTATTTTTTGGATTCTCATGTTTTGGACTTTTTAATTTGTGGACATCTTGATGTGGATTTTTTTTTGTGGACATTTTGTCCGGTAATCATGACGAGTAAACAACATGGATTTCAAAGAACAGCCTCTTAAGCTTCAAGTTATTAATTTCGATAGAGTGGTAGAGACGGAAAAACAAGAAAAAAGACATGATGAACTATTGCCTAATAGTATCCGTGCCGTTTTCTGTGGACCTAGTAACCGTGGAAAAACTAATTGTTTATTAACATTAATCACTCATCCTAATGGTCTTAGATTTCAAAACGTGTATGTCTACTCAAAATCCCTTAATCAGCACAAGTATAAATTTTTGAAAGATTTATTAGAGCCTATTAATGATATAGAGTATCATGCTTTCAGCGAGCATGAGACAGTTGTTTCACCAGATAAAACACGACCAAACTCTATCATGATTTTTGACGATATAGCCACTGAGAAGCAAGATAACGTAAGAGCATTCTTCTGTATGGGAAGACATAAAAAAGTAGATAGTTTCTATCTCTGTTGATCGTACGCTCGCATTCCGAACCATATCATTCGAGATAATGTGAATTCACTTGTTTTGTTTCGACAAGATGACGTGAATATTCAGCACATTTACAACGATAACGTTAACTCAGATATATTTTTTGAGAAGCTTAAAGTAATTTATTCAAATTGTTGGAGAGACGATAACACAGCTCCACAAAAAAAAATGAAAGTCGAGTGTCAGAAACCAAACCCACCCTACCCTATGTTTTTCGGGTCGCTGAATACGAATCCGAAGTCCGTTTCACCCCATCAGGTCCTGATTTCCCATAACCTCAAAGTTCAACCCTAAAAACCACTTAAATCGTGATCTATGTAATTCTCAAGCATATTTACCCATATAACAATATAATTAATCAATACACATACCATAAGCCCTCAAACCATAAGATCCTGTGTCGCCGTAACTTCAAAACCCAGGACCCCCGTAACGCCATAACCCCTTAACCCCCATGAACTCGTTTTACAGGCATTCCGGAAAAAAAATTCCGGAAACCAAAACCTACTTACCCCATAGTTTTCAGGTCGCTAAACACGAATCTTGTGCTCGTTTTACCCCATCAGATCAGGATTTCCCATAATCTCAAAAATGAAGCCCACGACCAATTGATCCAAATGTCGGAATCTGAAATCGAATGTCGGGAAGCTGGCGTAAACGAATTGATAGTGAGACAAATCTAGTAATTTTCTACGCGTGTTTGCAATCCAGGGCACCTCCACGTGGTTGACGGTGGGCAACGGAGTTGTTTCGCCATCCGGCAGAGACCCTGGATAACGGCGTCTGAGCCGTCATGGCAAACACACGTAGTAAAGTTACGATGCAGGGATTGGAAACCCCAGTATCGGCGGCTGGTCAGGGTGCGAAAGCGGGCCCGCAGGCGTCGTCATCAAGCAACCGCAATTCCAAAAAGGTCGGTGCACCAGCATCGACGAAGACGAAAGTATCGATACATGTTCACGACAATCCCAACAAAGTAAACAATTTCTGTTATGTGTGCGGTCTTTTCGTCGTACCAAGCTGTCGGAAAACCATAACAGATGCTATTCAGAGTTCATACCTCCATTGCTTCGATCGTAATATGTCGAATCAAAATGAAGACTGGGTCCCTCACATTGTATGCACTTATTGTCACAAAATGTTACTTACGTGCCACAGAACTAAGGCCAAATCAAATTCAAAATTCAAATCACCAGTCGTATGGGGCAAACCAGAATCAAGAGATGATTGTTTTTTCTGTTTAACGGAAACCAAGGGATTTAATTCGAAAAATAAATCTAAAATAAAGTATAGGTACCCATCAAATGTTTCGCCTGCTACCTTCCTGGAAACCCCATACTGTCGCCCGATGGAATCAAACAACGTTAGTAAAGAAGCGATGGTAGAACAAGATGAAAATAACGTGAGTACCAGTGGCACTGAAGAAGATGAAGAATCGAACGAAGAATCTAGTTTGAGCGATGACGTCTGTAAAACGACTAAAGTTCCACAACAATTCAGTCAAGATGAGCTAAATGATTTGGGCCGAGAATTGGGTTTATCAAAAGAGGCACATGAACGTTTAGCTTCTGGGTTAAAAGAAAAGAATCTTTTAGAACAAGGTACTAAAATAACGATATACAGAAATCGCGAAAGCGAACTAAGACAGTTTTTTACACATGACGAATTTGAACATTTAGTATATTGTAACGATGTTGCTGGTCTTATAAACAGTTTAAAAGCTGATTTTTACAGGCCAAAAGATTGGCGCCTTTTTATCGACTCATCACTTCGTAGTTTGAAGGCAGTCCTCCTCCATAATACAAATGTCTTTGCTCCAATACCAATCGCTCATTCCACAGTTCTCAAAGAAAATTACGAAAATGCTCAGAATCTTTTGAACAAAATTAAATATTCGGAGCATGAGTGGCAGATTTGTGGTGACTTAAAAATCATTGGGATTATTTTGGGGATGCAAAGTGGTAATGTAAAATTCCCTTGTTTCCTTTGCCTTTTTGATAGTAGAGCTCGTAATAGTCACTACAAGGTGGAACATTGGCCCGAACGATCGTCGTTAAAACCAGGATCCGTGAATGTTACGAATCAACCGCTTGTACATCCATCGAAAATCATAATACCACCTTTACATTTAAAACTCGGGCTTATGAAACAGTTTGTAAGAGCTCTTGATAAATCAGGAGACTGTTTCAAGTATATTGCACAGAAAATGAACAAACTAAGTGATGCAAAATTGGAGGCAGGTGTATTTGATGGTCCACAAATCCAGAAACTTTTCAACGATTCATTGTTCATAAATCATATGACGAATACAGAGAAAGCTGCATGGACAAGTTTTTACAACGTCTCAACAAATTTCTTCGGAAATATGAAAAGTCCAAATTATAAGGAACTGGTGAGTGATCTTATTCACAATTTTGAAAGTCTAGGCTGCAACATGAGCGTTAAATTACATTTTTTAGATTCTCATATTAATTTCTTTCCAGATAAATTGGGCGACTTTAGTGAAGAGCAAGGAGAAAGATTCCACCAGGATATCAAAGATATGGAAAAAAGATACCAAGGAGTTTGGAGAGTAAATATGATGGCAGATTACGTTTGGAATTTGAAACGAGATGTTCAAGTGGATAGCCAAACTCATAAGCGACGTTCACTTCGTCGATCCTTCGAGAGTAAGCAAGTGAGATATCATAAAAGATGCAAAACAGAATGAAAAACTTTACTTTTATTCTACTTACATTTGTTTTTATTAATTTATATTCATATTTCTATTTGTGAGAGGCAAGGGGAACTCACGAAAATAAAGTACCCCGACTGTGAGAGGCGAGGGAAACTCACGAAAATAAAGCACCCCAAAGGGAACGGAATCCTGCTATGTCCACGTCGTCGTTCCTGGGCTCGGCTGAATGTGGGTATTATATCGAGACACATTAAACACATGAGAAAAGAATATATTTCTCGCTTATCATAAACTAATAAAGTTCCTCACATAATAAGATACAGGACATTAGTTTAGCGTTGGAGACGCAAATATCTGTTGCAACCTCGCGTTGAAGATCTCTGTTGCTGATTAGGCTTGAACGTTTCAGATCGTTCTTCGATTTTTGGGTTTGCGGCTCTGGAAAATGATAAAGTTGGGGAGTTTTCAGATTTTGAGCTGATAAATATTACTACACTTCAAAGAGTAGCGCGCATATTTCAACCTCGCAGTGTTTGAGACTCAATTCTTTGTTACAAAGCGAGCTATAAGGTTATACAATAACCGAGTCACTGAAACTTAATATTCATATTGTCGGGAAATGCCTGTAAAACGAGTTTATGGGCGTCACGGGGTTATGGCATAACGGGGATATACTGGGCTTATAGGTAACGGCTTTACGGGGTCTAAGGAGTTCAGGGCGTATGGTTTGTGATTCATTCGTGTGTCACGTGGATGAATATTCTTGATAATTACATAGTCACGAGTTATGGGGTTTTGGAGTTGATTTTTGAGGTTATGGAAGGTCCTGATGTGATGGGGTGAAACGGTCCTCGGATTCGTATTCAGCGGCCCCAAAAACATAGGGTAAGTAGGTTTTGGTTTCCGGAATTTTTTTTCCGGAATGCCTGTAAAACGAGTTCATGGGGGTTAAGGGGTTATGGCGTTACGGGGGTCCCGGGTTTTGAGGTTACGGTGACACAGGGTCTCAGAGTTTGAGGGCTTATGGTTTGTGTATTGATTAATTATATTGTTCTGTGGGTAAATATGCTTGAGAATTACATAGATCACGATTTTAGTGGTTTTTGGAGTTAAACTTTGAGATTATGGGGAATCAGGACCTGATGGGGTGAAACGGACTTCGGATTCGTGTTCAGCGACCCGAAAAACATAGGGTAGGGTAGGTTTGGTTTCTGACACTCGACTTTCATTTTTTTTGTGGAGCTGTGTAATCATGGGTTTTTGGTTATCCACAGAGACAGACCAATAAATCATGGAAGATATGAAAGGGATTCATTTACTATAAATATAACAGAGTAAGTGGATGAAGATTTTTCAACTTTAGAAATTACAAGCGTAAAAATGGCTAACTTTGAAAGAGAAAAAAGGGTGCACGAGCATATATCCATGGCTCGTGATGCCATAGGACGCAAGTATTAACTAATAAAACGCGGGAAAGCTGATTTAGAAAAGACATTGAATTAAACATTTAAACCTAGGTTGATTCATTGAAGAAACTTGTAGAAGTTACTACTGATAAAAGTAACGCTACTACTACTACTACTGCTGCTAAACAGCCAACGAAAAAGGAAAAGAAAATCGCGTTCGATAAAGTTTTCAAGTCAGAAGTAGCAGCTGATACACCCTACAAATCTAGATATATGAATAGTACTGCTAATAAATTAAATTCTACATTG